CAGGAGGCAGCCACTCAATGTTCCGCTCTCACATCGATGTTTCTCTCTCTCTCCCTCTCCCTTCCTCTCTCTCTCAAAAGAAAAAAAAAACAATCAATAGACATATTTTAAGCAAAACACAAAAACCTGTGTTGGAGGGATGTTTCTTTGATCAGCAAAGTCAAAAGAATGCCCCTCCTTACTCTGAAACGTGGGAGAAGCGCCCCCATGTCTCTGGTTTGACTGCCTTTCCCGCCATGGTTCTCAGGAGAGATGCAGAACCTGCCAGCAATCGGGTTTGCTTGGGAGGCTGAGGTGTGTGCTTGTCAGGATGCTCCTGCAGCCCAGGTGAAGGAACTGAGAGGCCGCGAGTTTTCTAGAGAGGAAGGGTCCGAGCTTGAGGCTGGGGCGGGTGGGGCTGGGGTGGCAGGCGTGGACCGGACTGTCCCAGGGGCAGTCACCGTGGTCTGGTCTGGGGGTTGCTTCCCGGGTTCTCCAAAATTCTACCAAAATACCATCACCTGTGAACCTTTCCCTGAGGGGGCTTGGAAGTCCTAACAACATGTTCTTGTTGCCTACTGGCGTCTCTAGTTGATGGTTCCCCGATTTAGAGGGAAAGAATTCGCTTTTTCAATTTTTTTCCTTTTTTTTCTCGCTTTTTCAATTTTTAAGCTCTAACCCCACAGCAAGAAATATCACCTGGGTTAAAGGAACATTGCTGCTTAATTTTCTAGTCATGTACTTTTTAAAAAGCCGATACAATTAGATTTTCCCCATCTTCTCAGATCTGCCCCTGAAAGCACCCAAAGCTGTGCATCCTGGTTTTCAGCACTCCTACCTCCGGCGGAGCACCTGCGGATTGGTCCTGGTGGCGGCATCCCTGAGGGCCCCGGGGTGTCCAGAAACAGGAATGCAACCCCTGATGCGCACGCCTGACCTTATGCCCTCACATCCCTTTTTCTAGAGGAACAATAGGATCACACAGCACCGAATACAATAAATACAAGTACCTGGCCTTTTCCTTTAGTCTTTCTCCCTTTCCAGCATCTATTTCCGCCCTCACCAGTGTCTACACCAGCTAACCCATTTACACCCGTTACCTGGGATCAAAAATAATCCTCTTGTCATCTACAGGCCCTTATATTTAGGTACAAAGAACAGGCTTTGTAAAATGGCTACAAATAAGAGACGATGTTCATCGGTACAATACGTTTCAACTGGCAGATACGTGGACACACAAGCAATTGCCGTATTGTATTAGAGACATTTTATTGAAAATGCGAAAATAGGAAATGTATTATAGCCTAAAATAAATTACATAACATATACAGTATATATTTATATCTTTAAAATAGTTTTGTGTCTAGGTTCTTTCAGTCTAGGAATTTTGACGAAATCAAGAATTTACTGAACTGTGTCCATATTTTTTTTTTTTAAAGAAAAAACCCGCTTTCCAAAACTTAGAAAAATATACTGCACTAAATGGATTTCAGATGTATCATCTCAGGGAGTATCACATAGTGACTTTGAAGTTGTTTTATAAAATGTCTTGCTTTATCTTGTGGCGTGAGAGGGGCGTACACGAGGAATTACCTGTACCGCATGGTTATGACTAAGAATGGCTGGACCAGGTAAGACATTACTTCAAAAGTTACGATACGACAACCTGGCATGAGAGTGCTAGATTACGACTTAAAGCTGCAGTTCACTGTAAAAACTACAAGGTAGAGTTAGAATGCTCCGATTCCCTTGCTCTAGCGCCACCTTCAGGGAGGGTGAGTGGAAAACAAGCCTTCGGGGGAAGCCATGCGGAAGGATGCTGAAATTCGGAGATGGCTTTGGTGACAAGGGTAAGTTAGCTCAGGTATGTACACGGCGGGGCCTGGTGTGAGAGCTCACCCAGCTCTAGCAGGAGGCCGGGTGAGGTGCGCGTGGTCGGTGCTGTCAGCGGCTGTCCCTGTGGCATCTCACGCTTTTCTCTCCATCCAGCTGCCCAGCGCACTCACAGATCCCTTCTTCAGCGGGAACGGCCCGCGCAGGTGCAGGGGGCAGGCGAGGACTCCGTGGTGGAGGCCACCGGGGTGACCTCTCTGCGCAGCCATGCCGCTGGGAAGCCATGGAAAGCCGAGTGGTCACCTGTGGACTCTTCAGAGAGATGCGGAGGGACGGGTGCAGGCCGTGGCCTGCGGGGCAGTGGTGGCCGCGGGCGAGGGAGGGCAGAGCCGCAGTCCTTTGGTTCCAAGCGGAGATGGTCTGAGGGAGGGGAGACAACGTGGACCACGAGGCAGCTATGTCTTTTGGGTTCTCATGAAGCGGGGCACGAAGAACTGTCGTGTGGGTTTTTACAAAGTGTTGGCAGAGACCGTTCCCTCGGTCCCCGCTGCGTGGAGCATACCCAGTATGCCGGAGTGTACGTGAAACCTTTCGACCAAGGCCTCTGTCGTTACCAAAGCCAGAACCAGAACTCGACAGGAGAGGAGATGGCGCTGGGGTGTCATCCCCACCGTCCCCGCGGTGCCCGTGCGCCTTATTCGTTCTCCTCTCTCATTTCCACGATGTCCGTGCTCTCCTCGGCGGCAGGGATGTCCGTCATGGCCGAGTCCTCCCCCTCCACGGCTGACTCGTTCTCCATCTTCTTTTTCTAGAGCAAAGAAGACACGTAAGCGTGGGCTGTGGCAGGGACACATCACAGCAGAGCCAAGAGCAGGGGGAGGCCCCCGGGGTCTCAGACTTGGGTCTCGCGGATGGTTGGGGCGGCCTCACCGAGGCTGCGCCTCAGTCCGGCGTGGGCCTCTCTGTCTGGTGACTTGGACGCTGGCCCTGTGCCTGGCACTCTGGGCGATCCCGTCCCAACGACTCTCCCCAGTGCCCTCTGGACGCACCGGCAGCTGATGGCAACCTGCCTCTACCCGGGGACACCACTTCCACCCGCCCTTCCCAGCAGGGCCTGAGCTCTCCCCACCCTCCTGCTCAGGGCCTGCAGAGCCTTTGGCCCTGGGATGAGCACTCGGCCTGATGCTATTGGAGCGTTCCTCCCTCGGGCCAGCCCCAGGCTTGCTGTCATTCTCTCCCACCCTGCGCCTGGCCTGGCCTAACTCCAGGTGGCTGCCCTGAGGCCTGGACCCTGCAGGGCGGGCCCAGCTGAAGGACAGGAGGCCTCCCACTGTGGCCCACAGGAACCACTCAAGTCTTCCTACACCTGGAGGAGGCTTCCCAGCCGTGGCAGGTGTGTCTGTCCCCACGTCTCACCTGTTTCCGATAGACGTAGCAGGCGGCTATGGCGACCATGGTGGATTCTCCCACAAATCCCGCGAGGAGGGAGCCCACGCCCAGGGTGGCTCCGTGGACCCTGGGGATGAGAAAGCAAAGGCCATCAGTTTGTTAAATCCGTGCGGAGGCACACACAGTGTCAGAATCTAGCCGACACCCAGGAAAGGTGTAGACAAGAGGCACCAGACAATCGCATTCAGAGTCTGCACCTAATAAGCCGGGCACCTGCATGGGGAGGGGACCTGGACCTCCAGGCAGAGCTGCCTCCCCCGCCCCCTCCGGGCCTCAGCTCAGCACCTGCTGGCGGCTGGGCTAGCGTCCCCATCCCTCCTGAGCCCACAGCACCTCCCACCCTCCTCTCTGCAAGCCCCTTCCGTGGGAGACTGGGAGTCGTGGTTGGTGCTCAGTAGATAGTCTGTATAGGCCTGACCCTGAAAGGACTTTTCTAGAATGGATCTCAACAGCCTCCCATCTGGTTTGCAGGCAGAGAATAGGACGCAGTTTTGCATTTCTACTTCTAGATACGCTTGGGGCTTTCACACGGAAAAGCAAATGCAACCATCTAAACAGAACTTAAGTGGCAGAAGGACCCACAGCCCCACGCCCCCGACGACTCACCCCAGGTAGGGCAGGACCACGAGGCTGGTGATGAGGACGATGATGCGGAGCACGGAGCTGGGGGCCAGGACAAAGGTCTTCTTCAGGGTCATCAGCCACCCGGTGAGATGAGCCCTCACAGTGACTGCGGGGAGAGCAGAGGGCTCGTCAGCAACGACCTGCTTCTCCGGGTCCTCAGCCTGTAGTGTCTAGCCCCTGGGCAGCACACCAGGGTCCTTGGGGCGCAGGCTGGGACCCAGGCCCTGCTGCTGCCGCCCTGGGCATCGCCTTGTCTTCCTGCCAGGTTCCTGGTCTCTGGTCAGGGCCCGGGCAGCCCGTCCCTACCTCGGCTCCTGCCCCATCACAGCCCTGAGCGTCCAGACAGCGAGTGGCTGCAGGCAGCTCCCTCCTCCATAGTGACTGCCCCGGGACAGTCCTGTCCACTCCTGCCTCAAGCTCGGACCCTTCCTCTCTCGAAGAAAAAACTCAGAGAGAAGAGACGGCTGCCAGTGAGCAAACCTGATTCTGAGGGAGGAGCAAACCTGGACCAAAAGCCCAGAGACAAGGTGTTGGGGAAGAAAGGGGCTGCTCTGTCCGCATCCCTGATTTCCTCAGCCGTCCCCGACCACGGAAACCTCAGTCACCGCCCTCCTCCTGCCCCTGTCAGGTCCCTGTCGTTCTGACAGGTGGGTGTGTCACAGACACCTCGCCCGTCTCCCCATCCAGACCGGAACTGCGGGAGGGCGGGGCACCCAGCCTGGACGCCATGGAGGGCTCCAGCAACATGTGTGAGCTGCTGCCTGAATTTGGTTTTGGAGGAAAACAGTTACCAGCAAGAAGTGCCCCGGATGTCTGACCTCAAACTGGAGGGTGTTTAAGGAAGCGCTCACTCCTGGGGTGAAACCTCGTGTCCAGGGAGGAAGTCCATTGGGAGGAAGACCTGCTGTCCTCCTGGCCTAACGGTGTGCCCTGTCGGCCCAGGGTGGAGGGCTGTATTTAAGAGGCTCAGACACACACTCGGGGTTGGGCAAGGGCAAAGGTGAGGGCGCACAGGTAGAATGCTAATCCGGTTGGCCCACACTCCGCAGGTTGCACAGACAGGTGGAAGCTGGACCCGTCTGGAAGCCCTTAGGACAGTGATGGCGAACCTTTTGAGCTCGGCGTGTCAGTATTTTGAAAAACCCTAACTTAACTCTGGTGCCGTGTCACATATAGAAATTTTTTGATATTTGCAACCATAGTAAAACAAAGACTTATATTTTTGATATTTATTTTATATATTTAAATGCCATTTAACAAAGAAAAATCAACCAAAAAAATGAGTTCGCGTGTCACCTCTGACACGTGTGTCATAGGTTCGCCATCACTGCCTTAGGATGACAGGTGAGGCGGAGTCTCCCGGACCTCCAGCCCCTCCTCCAGGCAACACTGTGAGGGCAGCACCTCTAGGTGGCATCGCCTTCCAAAGCTTGGCTCCCCAGGGTCCTGCCTCCCCTGCACCCCTGACCCTCCATCCCTCCATGTCTGCCACAGCGGAGAAGGTGACACCCGAGGGACCCAGCCTCCAGGAGTGCTTGGCTCCTAAGAGCAGGGCAGCTTGTGCAATTCAGGGACAACTGGGGCTGGCGGGCCCACAGGGCTGGCCGAGCTCCATGGCCCGTTTCTTCACCTCACTGTGGCTCTCTGTAGATTTTGGCTTCTCAGCTCACTGTCTGGGGTGGAATTTCTGGGCAATAAAATTGTTAACAGGAAACAACATGGACTTGGTACAGAATTTAAAAGGGAATATAGCACAAAGGTCTTCCTCCCAGGCCTGGCTCCCCGGGGCCCTTGTCCTGCTTCCCAGCGGCAAGCACTGTTAGCCGACTGTTGGTGAGTTACCTCTAGAAATGGTATGTAGACAGGCAGGCACTTACCCTGAACATAGCACACCCAGGCATCCATGATGGGTGGTACATGTGCTACAGACAGGGTACATACTAAGCAACCGCTCTGCAGCCGCTTTTCTCATTTCCTAAAGCACGACCTCCTTCCTCATGGCACACCTCACACTACTCTGCTGGTTTGCGAATGTTCCAACTGGCTTCCGCTTTGGCTGTGGGCTTCTCCTCTCTGGCCACATGCCCTCTGGCCTCAGCTCTGCCCCCAGATTCTTGTCTCCAGCAGCCCCTCTCTTTCCCTGTATGGATCCAGGTTTTACAGGCTACTCCCCTCACCCCATTTTACTCCTGAAATTAACATTCCTACAATTCGACTTCTGAATGTACAGTTCTAAGGGTTCTGACACAGGCCTAGACTCATGTCCCTACCACCATCAGGGTGCGTGGCAGTTCTTTGCCCCTGAACTCCTCACGCTGTCCCTGGGGGTCTGCTTTCTTCTTCCCGTGTTTGCAACCGCTCTCCTTTAAGAAACCGATGATTCCTGTAGGCGTCGTGTTATGAACTTTCATCCTACTGGGCCATGTCTCCACATCTTTCCAGTCCACTGTGAAGATTTACAGTTTTGTTTGGGACACGATTGCAAACACTTCCAAAGAAAGAAGACTGAGCCAGGCGGGCCGGGGTGGGGTGAGGGGGGGCGGGGGGGAGGGGGCGGTAAGGAGGAACTTGTCTTTCGTTTGCTTTTGCTTTACCTGGGACTGGGAAGAAGGAGAAGATCCGCAAAGGAATGACGCAGAGCTCTGCGAAGGCGAAGTCCACGCCGATGATGTCTATCAGAATCTTCTCGGACACGTTGGGGGTCCAGAACATCACAAAGCAGAGCTGGAGGGGGTGGGAGGGGGAAGCCAGGTTGTGAGGAAAAGGCATCAACGAGTGGAATGAGAAAGCCAGGCATTCTAATATGCCGAGGAGCTCAGAGAGAGGGTGACCTGCCCAAGCAGGAGGCTGGCATACCGGTCCTCAGGCGGCCATCACCCTGCCCTGTTCTCAGCGCTGGCACAGGCCCAGGCCCACCTGCCACATCTGCCCCACAGGGGCCCGGGCAGCGGGGCAGATGTGGACGCACTGAGTGGGGAAGCGGGCCACTGAGAGGGGCCAGTGGGCTCCCACGGAAGGCTCAGCTGGACTGCTAACCAGCTCAGTCCATTCAGGGGGAACATGTCTATTAACACAATTTTTACAGCTTTCACCCAATAATAAAAAGTGCCCTGGAAGCATCTGGATGCATGCAGCACGCCTGAATCAGCACAGCCAACCGAGACGGAAACAGCAATGCTGAGATTAACCACAGGCCCGGAAGCCTGCAAGGTCTAGTTCAGAGAATGAGAGACCACAGCTATGAAGTGGGGAACTCTGGACACGGAACCCCTTTGAGAAAGTGGGAACTGAAATGGGCGGGGGAAAAGTGGAGTGAAAAATCCCACCAGTTCCCAAATAATTCTCTCCCTTCCTGACGGTGCAAGAGAGCGATTCTTCTCTAAAACGAAAATGAATACGTTAGAAAGTGAATGACAGTCGTGCAAAAACAGAACACTGACATTTTAGACTATAACGCCCTTTAGGCTTTGGGTAAATTAGGGTTCCTGGAATTAGGCTGGTCCTGTTTACTGTGTCATGTTGAAATATTAAAAAAAAAATACCTGGGAGGATCTAGTATATGTTTTACTTGATAACTGCAATGGAGCTTTAATTCTGCCATATCTTTTTTCAGCATCTGGGAGGAATAAATATCCGAGGGGTTTTCCAAAATGACATCATTTAACCCTATTGCCTGCTGCCCGTACTCACAGCCCATCTCTGACACGAAGGAAAAAATACTTCCTCAGATGTAGCAACTCGGAGCTCAGAGGCTTTGTCACCGTGTGCCCTGGACAAGTGGCCTTGTCATCGTTTTCCCACGGCAAAGCCGCCAGCCTGAAACAGTGAGGTATCGCTCACGCCTACAGCTCAGGAATGGCGACAATTTCGTGTCGCAACTTCAAAATGGCACTGAGCAGGGCAGTGGGAACTATCCAGACTTGATTTGTGCCTCGGGACCCACGAAGAGTATGCCACCCTGCATTTCTTCCGTGGTTGGAAGACCACACTCTGCTAAAAATGAGAGCTTGCAGGACAATCACTGTCATGCCGTGTGTATTCCGTAGCCGGCAATGACCTGAACGTGAGACGATGTCTCCTGTTGCAATCTCTCTGCTTTGCAAAATCACTGCACAATGGCCTTTCAGTTACAACACCCAAGGGGAAGGGAGGGGGTCACTGCATGTCAGAGAGGAGGGTGCAGCCAGCGTCTGTGGCGAAGCCAGGTGATTTCCCTCTCTGGGTTCTCTGCATGGGTGATGGGCACCCTGAGGCCTTTTATGGCCTTGGAAGACCTCGGAGTTCAGTTGGAAGACAGGACCATGGTGAGCACACCCACATCACACGAGACATTTACAAAAATACCCAGTAACCTGGGCCGGTGACCACAGTGGCCCCTGAGAACAAAATGTTAAGGTTTGATGGATCCCTAACAGAGCTTCCCAGGAGGGTGGTTTCGATATTCCATTTCTAAAATGCCACAGTGTGATTCCACGTGGCACCACTGAACCACTCTCTTCTGTCTGGTACCTATCTGTGCCAGGAGTGCCCTGAATGCGCCTATCAGGCCACATGCTCCTGAGGCGCCTCTTCAGAGGTGTCTGCCACACACACCTAGAAGGCTGGGCCTCCTAGAACAACGTAGCGGAACCCGGTCAGCCTGGGGCTCGAGCAATCACAGGTCATTATTGAAAGTGAAGGAATGCTATGGGAAATGGATCGAAGCTTCCTTTCTTTTTCTTCCGGAAGTCTCTGAATTTGACCCTTTGCCTTTGCCATGCTTCCAGATGAAAATGCTCCTTGCCTGCCAGTAAGTCCCTAAAAACATGACTATTTCTTGCATTGCCCAGAGAGGAATATCTGCAACATAGCAATAGGTCGGCGCTGGTTAAAAGCGGCAGTTCCTCTCTGCAGGTCAGTGTTCCCTAAGGAACGTGTGGAGCCCCAGCTAACAACCAGACCAAAGGTAACCAGTCGGTTTCAGAAAACAGGAAGCTGTAGAAGTGAACCTGACAAAGAATATTTCAGGAAAGTGTCATTCGAATGAGTTCACCCAGAGGAGGCTTGGCTCAGAACATGCCCTCCCAGTTGACCACGACATGCTGTGTTCCTCAAATATTTGCAGAGCCTAACGACATTGACTTTTCCAAACCAGGAAAACAAACCTAATAAACTCCTGACAATGAACGTGATTTGTTCCTGAGAGCAGCTGCAGGGCTGGCTTTTCTGCTGCAGAGCTTGCTGTCAATATTATCTTATTAGGAAGCAGCCAGCTGCATAGAACCACCCACTCAGTGCCCAGATCTTGGTTTCTCTATTTATTTTTCAATAGAAGGAACCAGGGCTGCCTGGAGAAATGGCTCATTCTAGATCTGCCTGGAATAATATGTCAACGGACACAAGAGCCCAGCAGGAAGCATTCCCCACGGGCAAAGCTGGAACAATTTCAGCAACAAAATAAATACTGTAGTACTGAATACAGAGTATACAATAAATACCCATGACTCAATCTCTATATATAAAAGCCCAGTGACCGAATGACAGAATGACCAGAATGATCAGTTAACCAGTTGCTATGATGCGCACTGACCACCAGGGGGGCAGACGCTTAACCAAGGAGCTGCCCCCTGGTTGTCAGTGCACTCCAACAGTGGGAGTCCCACTTGGTTGACTGGGATGAGCGGTGCTCCCATAGTGGGAGCAGCCGCTCAGAGGGTGGGTCCATAGCCGCTCAGCTGACCAGGATGAGCGGCACTCCCATATCGGGCCGATCCCTGCAGGCCACGCCCCCCACCAGTGCATGAATCCCATGCACCAGGCCTCTAATATTGATATAAATAAGCAAATAGGGTCAGATCTCTGGCCCAGAATTTTATCTAATTCATGTAGATAATCCCTTCCCAGAGAGGTGAAGCATACCTATACTTCCCCATCCAGAAGTGTGGGCTGACCATAGCAACTCCCCTCCAAGGAGAACTCGGTTTGGAAAGGGGAAAAGAGTACCTTTACAGTGGAGAGACCTGGCAAACATGACCTTGGGAAGTGGCCAAGGTCAACATCAGCAGTGATGGGTCGTGTTGATGGCACGTGCTCCTGATAAGATATGACGAGACTTGCACTTGATCCAGGTGATCTTCCTCCCCAAATCCAAAGCCCCCTCTAGCCACGAGAAAAACCTCAGACAAACCCGAGTTGAGGCACATTTACACAAAACCTAAGCGGCATTCCTTGAAACTGGGAACGCCTCAAAAACAAGCCAAGTCTGCGGAACTCACACACCAGAGGGGGCTAAGGAGACAAGATGACAAGGGCTGTGAGGGAAAAGCTACTGAAACCTGAATCGACTGTTCAGTTCAGTTCACAGTCACGTATTCGTTGCTTAGTTGTGACAAATGAACCACAGCAAAGTGAGGGATGAAGGGTGTGTGGGAACTGTGTGCTAGTTTCACAATGTTTCTGTAAACCTAAGATAATTCTGAAATAAAAAGGTGATGAAGGAGAAGAAAGAAAGGAAGAGAGGAGAGACCTATGACCCAACACCCTTTTATTTGACAGACTATGTGATTCTTTTTCTGAGGACCAGATACTGACCATGAAATTTTTACTTTGGACTTTGAAACATTTATTGGCATTTCAACATATATTCATCGCTCGTAAAGTGTAGTCCATTCCAGACACACCTTCTGCCTTCATGATCACTGGCATCTCTTTTCTTTCATCACATTAGCCTCCTTGGAAACTAACCCCCATTGGGCTGCAGCCCTCATATTCACAGCCTTCCCATGCAGTTTCTGGTCAGTGTATGTGCCATGGTCAGATTTCTAGTGGTGGTCTGGTCGGGCAGATCAATGAGTAATTTAGCATCTTCCTTAGAAGCAACCCGTTAAGCAGGCTTTACCTGTATGGAGTTGTCCCACATCAGAGGCAGCATTTAACCTTTCATGTCTAAACCCCTGTAACGATGAACTAAGTGATGACTAAGTTTTACGGTAGATTAAGGTCCCCAAATAAAACCATAGTGTGCATTAAGGAGGAAGCAAGTCCCAGGCCTTACAGAAATAACACCCCATCTGAGATGCTACAGTCTGAATCCACGTGACTAGACCCACAGAAGGGGGACCCTCCTCCCCCACAGAGTCTGTTTCTCACCCGCCCTGGGACAGTCTCAGATTCTCTCCCAAGAATGTGGGATTCGAAGAAGCCAGTTGTCTCCATCAGCATTTGATGAAGGGGGAGCCATTGCTGCACAGCCGGAGAGGGCTCCAGCCCACAAGGGAACATTGCCAAGAGCTCTGGTTTTGACGCAGTTCCAGAGCTCCCGAAGCTCCCGCCATTACCCTGAATAATCAGGATTAGTACCCAGTCAGAGTCTTGTCCCCTGCAGTTAGAAGAAGTGAAATGTATGCAGCTGTTATGAATTAAAATAGCTGGCCCTGGGCATCGTTTTTATTTGGAGCCTTTACTTAGTAAGAAAAGTTCAACAACTGTTTAATTGGGTTTAAGTCTCTACTGCCTAAACCTGAGGTTAACCCTCAACAATACCGCATACAAAGAGGTGGTTACAGCCTGGCTTGGGCTGCAAGATGGTGAGTAAATGGATTTACATTCTGGTGCCAGCTCCTTAGCCCTCGGATGACCAGACCACCAGCGTGTCTGTGGCCCTGTGACCCCCACAGATGCTTCTGCCCGCCAGGGGCACAGTGAGTGGGACCAGTCGGTCTTACTATCATTACTGTAAAAGGTTT